ATTTAAATTACACGTCGTATTCTGACTGTTCTCTATATTTGAATGATGACGCCTTTATTATGTAATATTTGTTATTACATAATCGGGATGTTACAATTATGCAAATATCTTTGGTGAAGTAATTGAAACTTTAAAAAATTAAATAAAATCATTAGGAGAGGAGAAAAATATATTAGGGAAGATTTGCTTCAACGAAGACTAGATATGCATAGAAATAGTACACTAAAAAATTATGTGAGCCGTAACATTCCTATTTTTCTTGGCACCTTTAAATCCATTTAGTTGTAAGCAAATAGTAATTTTAATAAAACCTCTCAAAAATATGAATTTTGAAAATAATTTTTTCTTAAAACAAAATGAGTCATCTAGGTATACATTAACTACTTCCCATATCTTATTAAAAAATATACTTAAATTGAATAACCTTAGGACCTTTATATAAAAAAGGGAGAAAACAAAAATAAATTGTCTTAACATAATAATTTTGAGGAACATCAATAAAAGAAGATTATTAAGTGTAAATTGCTAGACTCATCCCACCCTCCACTTGTCTATCCTTGTGATAAGTTATAGTTGATGTTATGAAATTATCACTATTTGACCACTCACCGAAGAAAGATTTGCAAGATCTTAAACTCCATATAGCATTAAAAGTATTTATACATTTTCAAAATCTACCTTTAATACGCCAATGGACAAGAAGAAGCAAAAGCTTTGCACACAAAAAACAATCACATTCGAGCCAAAGAAGTCTATTGGGTTAGAGTGACTTCCATAATCTTGGCATATAAAGATTTTTGAACTCCTAAAATAGAAATAAATTGTTAATATATTCACTCTGAATACCTCTAAATATACCACCACAAGCTACATACCACTTCAATCCAACCTACATCAACCATATTCCATGAGTTTGAATAGTAAAAACATCTTCCCTCTAATGTTAATGACAAAAAACTTCAAACTCATTAGTTATGCTTACTAATGTCATGATTTTCACACCATGATTGTCGTCAACGTCCTCATTAGTCATATTATGGTCATATCATCAATGTCACCCTTATCAACACAGTCTCCAACACATCATCTTAATCATGATGAATGCCAACATCATCATGAAGGATCATGGTTTATCTCTTATACCCAACCTCACATCTGTTATACCGAATAGGCCCCTTTGATCTGTCCCGCCCTTACAGCTAAAGGACTTGCTCCCCTACTATACAAGGATTTAAAAGTATAAACATTGACACATCACACACTGGGTACTATACTCAGCAACGAGCCATTGATTAGGAAAAACATCATTCCCTTCATACAAAGAAGGTACAGTACTCGAACGCCACTCTCTTTTCGCACACAAGGCCAAAGAGAACCTTTTATTTTTCATATCACACACTTGAAAACCCAAAACCTATGATTTACGAGATACAAGATAGGCACGTCCATCTGCTCACACATATACTACTAATAGGCAAAACCCATATATCTCAAGTTCACCCTCAAAGGTATATTAAAATCGTAACTTATTGAAGGTGTCTTCCCCTATTGGTTAATAGTTCAACCCTATGAAATTAACCAACACATAGAATAATTAAACCAATTACTAACCATGTCATACATAAATTATAAAACCATTCATATTCGTGGACCTCATGTGAATCTCACTCAAACAATAGGTTACCAATGAAATCAACCTCACATCAAGTAAAAAAACAACTCAATTATTCATCCATATACTTATTGTAACCCCATCATTTCTTTTCAAGCCCAGTAAATTTTATTTTAATTATTATTATTATTAGCCTATACTTATTCATTATTATGAATTTTATTTTAAATTTCTTTTCTTATTCTTCTTAGTGTTTTTGTCTCTTTCTTTGTAAAACCAAAGTCCAAACTCTAGGGCTTATAGGCCCAATTAGGACCAAACCGACCAACTCAAGGGTCCACTGATGACATCGTTGGTGACCACCATGGCCCCTTACCATAGAAAAGGAAACGAAAAAACCCTCTACTAAACAAACCCAGACCTACTCCCACGGCCAAGGAAGAACTCCAATTCACAACAACCTCCAAATGTTCTTCGCAGAATTCCAATATGAATCAACAAACTAGAAATTCAAAAACCCCAAATCCCCAATTCGAACCCTAACCCCTAAATTGTAAGATCAAAAGGCAATCGCAGAAATCCCCAAAAATAGAACCCAATTTCAAACCCTAATTCGAAATGTGAACCCTATCCAAGCCTCTACCGCTGCGTAGACGTCTGAAGCACTCGTTGTCGAGAAGGAAGCGTCGTACTTGAGCCATCAAAACTCGTCTCTCCTTCCGTGCAAAACCTCAACCAAGACCAGAGCAAAGGGAAGAAGAATGGTCCTTTGCAAAGCCGAACAAAATAAAGGGGAGGAGGAAAAAAAGGAAAATCCCCTCCCTAGCCGTTGTTCATTGTGCAGTGTAATAATACTTGTAACGATGAATGTGTAACTGATGAATGTGTTAAACTCATTATAATTGAACATAGCATGAGTAGAGTGAACTAATATAAAACTTAGTGTTTTTTTTATTAAGTTTTCTATGATATCATATGAAGAATGTTTTTTTTTTTAGTAATCCTTTGAAAATTCATGAAACATCCTAAACAAAAAAAATTTAGAAAATACTACTCACCCCTTCTCTGGTGTCTTCATGTGTATTTTAGAGAGAGCTCTGCGTGTCACTAGACCACAAGAGGACTAATCTTGTCATACGTTGATGGAGTTGTAGTTCTTGGCTGAGCCAAGGACCTTACTCACAATGGGCTGCTAGAGCCACAAGCTGCATCTCGAATCTATCTTGGGTGTGACACGTGTAAAGTCTCTAAGACGTGCTCGATTCAATCCATGCTCACTTTCCAAAAATAGATTCATGATACATGCATGCTGACATGATAATATGCTCATATTGGAGAAATAAGGAATGACATGTAGTGGTAGCATTGTCATGATAAAAGTTTATGACTTATTATGCTTTATTTTATGTTAGCTTTGCATTATATTACCACTAACACAAAAGCAGTTTACCATGTCAGTGAAATAACGTCTGACATATAGGTAATGAAAATGAAAAATGCATGACAAATTTTTTGTAATTAAACCGTTAATATTTACGTTTGACTTGTAACTACAAGAAGTAAAAACAGATTTTTGTCTAACACTTATATATTAGACGTAAATTTATGTTTGACAGTTATAGAAGTTTTTGTTAGAGGTTATTTAGTATCATGAAAAGGTATGAAATAAAATGTTGTGTAACTGCAAAAACAAGATATATCATGTGATTTCACTTCATAATTATAAGAAATCCTTTAATAATATCTTTTTATAATATTTTAATATTATTTACGTGTTATTTTATGATTGGTCTAAAATTATTTTATATTCAATAATAATAAATATAAACATTAATATGAACACGATATTAAAATATTTATTATTTTTAATTTAAATGATTTCTGAAGTTGAAGTCACGTTAATGTGATGTGACTATATTTATACAATTTTAACTTATAAATATCTTATTTAAAGTTATGGAAACTTAACACGACTTTCTCTTAGTAAACTCGTCTCAAGATGATATACTTATATTTTGTAATTTTTTAAATTATTATTCATTTTAATAAATTTAGAACAGAAATGACAATAATTTGGTAAAAAAAGAACCGATCATAGTAGGTACAAAGAAAGAAAAGCATAATACACTTGAGGAAAGGGAAGACACTCCCAACGAGAGAGGATGAGTGCAATCTTCTTGACCACAAGCCACTCATTCCCTACCCTCTCTTCAATTATATCTCAATCTGCCCAAATCTTCTGTAAGCTTTGATCTTCTTATCCTTATCCTTTCACTCCTACGCAATCCTATCATATATGGATCCTGGGCATCGGTTCCGCACCTCCAACGGATTCTTTGTCATCTATCTGGCCGACGTAACCTCCTACACTAACTCTTATTCGTTTTTACCTCCATATCATTAGGGCTCGTTACATTGACTTTCTGTCAATTGATCATTACACACTAGATAGACAGCTGTCTTCTGGACTTCAAATCCTTTCTCAAAAATAATAAAAATCTCCAACTTGTCTCCATATCCCAGATGTGATATCACGCCCTGCCAATCAACATCATTCAAGGACGTTAGTGTTTCTCGATTGAATAACTGGATTATGCACTTTGTGTAATTAACCATTAAGACACAACTAAGATATTGAGTTGGGTCTCCCAAGCGTGATAAATGCTCAACACACAAAATCATTCCATTCATGTGAAAATTGTCAGGCACGGTGAATTTGGCTGAGTGTCCCTCATTCTTATAAGCCAACCAATGAGGATAATTGTCACTAGGGACAAAAACTTTACGAGTCTGTCTGGCTGCCAATTCCTGTAGCATGAGAAAAATAGCTTAGTCATTTTGAAATGGTTCTGTTCATATGGACTTCTTCCATCATTTTACCATTTCAAAGTACAAAACACACAATTTAAAAACATAACAAGATACTGAATAAATTACAACACAGAAGGGGAAGGTACTGAAAGAATGTCCGGATTGAAGTTACTTTGTATTTAATGGAATGTTTCATGTTCTTAAAATTAAGAGCTAAAATGAATATAAAAGTAAGTAGATAAAGTAAAAAAGAGATGGAACCTCATCATAAATGCTTTTGCGGAGAGTGTTGAAGACTTCTTCTTGATAACCTCCAATTTGAATCAAATATGGACTGAATGGATGGTTGGAAAGTTGTGTAGATGTAGTCCAAGTTACACAACGAACTTCTTCCAAAATAGCTGTTACTTGTTGAAGTATTGGATACTCCGTGACACATTGCACTAAGACAGTACGCAGATTTAAAATGCTTCTAAGGACTGGAGCTAGATCTACCAAATCATTATGCTCCACATTCATGGAAGCTAGAGATGGTGAAATGCCACGAAACGGACGCATATGATACAGGGGATTAAAAGTATGGGACATCCAAGACAAAATGATAGAATGAAGAACAGTACGTGATAATCCCTTTCCTTCGTCTACCTGTATATATCCAATGCTTTTTGAGCTTACAACTGAAATGGGAACTTGTTTCACAGCAGTATTGTGAGAAATTAGAGTTTTCAAGGATTTCATGTGCATTATATCTTCTTTAAAGATATCAATCTTCAGACAGCCAGATAGGATAAGAGTTTTTAAGGATTTCAACTTATATGTCTCACTTGGGAGATTGCTTAGGTTTGTACAGCCTTTCAAATTTATTAGTAGAAGATTGTGTAAATCTCCAATCGATTGGTGTACCTTGCCCAAACTCACACAATGCTTGAGAATGAGCTTTTCAAGACTGGGTAATTTTGAAAAGTCAGGGGTTTCTGTCAAGTACTTTGAATGACTAAGATTGAGGATTTTTAGCCACGGTAAAACCTGCAAAAATATAGTATTTTTACAAAATAAAGGAAACCGTGATAAGTGACAATCGTTATTAATGTGAAAAGGAAATGGGATGTAATATATACCGTGGGTTCTTTCCACAGTAGTCTGAGATTACTGTGCTGGAAATCCATTACAATTGCACCTTCCAAGTAAAAGTTGTTAGGTATGTGCTCTAAAGAAAATCCTTGCCAGGAGATACATCTCAGTTGCTTAGAAAGATAGCCGTAATCTCCAGTTAGCCGTACATGACCAAGTTGCAAGAATCTCAACGTCTTCATTTCCTTAAAAGCATCAGCTTTGAAGGAATCACTGTTCGTTAACTTAGTGTTCAGAGACAATCCCACAATCGCTTCTGTCCCCTGTAATGATACGAGAAAATAAATAAATTTGGAAATCACTATTGCTAGCTCACTGGAAAATAAAACATAAAGCAAAACACATTCAAGTTTCAACATGTTTTATAAAGAATGTACTCACAGTATTCTTTGTCAATACATCAAGTACATCCTTGGGAAGCCACAATCTACTGCGCTTCCCAGGTTGCATTGTTGAAGTTTGACGCACAATCTCTCGTCCCATGTCCCGAAGCAAATGATGCATTCCAAGTTTATTCTTCTTTTCAATTTTTAAAAGACCACGTTTTATAAGAACTTTTATTCCAAAATCAGCATCCAGTCCACAGCCATTTAGTATCTCCGTGACATAGCCTCTATCTTTCCCAATAAAGAAACAACATACATCAAGAAATATATCCTTTTCCTTTTCACGTAAGCCGTCAAAGCTTATTCTTAGGATGTTCTGAATTTGAGTATTGGGAATTATTTCTAGTTTTGACAATACACTTCTCCATTCATTCTCTGACCTCTTACTCAAATAAGAACCAAGGACTTCAAGAGCGAGTGGTAGTCCACCACAATAAGCAACGGCTGATCTTGCAAGTTTATTGAAGTNATTTGGTAAAAAAAGAACCGATCATAGTAGGTACAAAGAAAGAAAAGCATAATACACTTGAGGAAAGGGAAGACACTCCCAACGAGAGAGGATGAGTGCAATCTTCTTGACCACAAGCCACTCATTCCCTACCCTCTCTTCAATTATATCTCAATCTGCCCAAATCTTCTGTAAGCTTTGATCTTCTTATCCTTATCCTTTCACTCCTACGCAATCCTATCATATATGGATCCTGGGCATCGGTTCCGCACCTCCAACGGATTCTTTGTCATCTATCTGGCCGACGTAACCTCCTACACTAACTCTTATTCGTTTTTACCTCCATATCATTAGGGCTCGTTACATTGACTTTCTGTCAATTGATCATTACACACTAGATAGACAGCTGTCTTCTGGACTTCAAATCCTTTCTCAAAAATAATAAAAATCTCCAACTTGTCTCCATATCCCAGATGTGATATCACGCCCTGCCAATCAACATCATTCAAGGACGTTAGTGTTTCTCGATTGAATAACTGGATTATGCACTTTGTGTAATTAACCATTAAGACACAACTAAGATATTGAGTTGGGTCTCCCAAGCGTGATAAATGCTCAACACACAAAATCATTCCATTCATGTGAAAATTGTCAGGCACGGTGAATTTGGCTGAGTGTCCCTCATTCTTATAAGCCAACCAATGAGGATAATTGTCACTAGGGACAAAAACTTTACGAGTCTGTCTGGCTGCCAATTCCTGTAGCATGAGAAAAATAGCTTAGTCATTTTGAAATGGTTCTGTTCATATGGACTTCTTCCATCATTTTACCATTTCAAAGTACAAAACACACAATTTAAAAACATAACAAGATACTGAATAAATTACAACACAGAAGGGGAAGGTACTGAAAGAATGTCCGGATTGAAGTTACTTTGTATTTAATGGAATGTTTCATGTTCTTAAAATTAAGAGCTAAAATGAATATAAAAGTAAGTAGATAAAGTAAAAAAGAGATGGAACCTCATCATAAATGCTTTTGCGGAGAGTGTTGAAGACTTCTTCTTGATAACCTCCAATTTGAATCAAATATGGACTGAATGGATGGTTGGAAAGTTGTGTAGATGTAGTCCAAGTTACACAACGAACTTCTTCCAAAATAGCTGTTACTTGTTGAAGTATTGGATACTCCGTGACACATTGCACTAAGACAGTACGCAGATTTAAAATGCTTCTAAGGACTGGAGCTAGATCTACCAAATCATTATGCTCCACATTCATGGAAGCTAGAGATGGTGAAATGCCACGAAACGGACGCATATGATACAGGGGATTAAAAGTATGGGACATCCAAGACAAAATGATAGAATGAAGAACAGTACGTGATAATCCCTTTCCTTCGTCTACCTGTATATATCCAATGCTTTTTGAGCTTACAACTGAAATGGGAACTTGTTTCACAGCAGTATTGTGAGAAATTAGAGTTTTCAAGGATTTCATGTGCATTATATCTTCTTTAAAGATATCAATCTTCAGACAGCCAGATAGGATAAGAGTTTTCAAGGATTTCAACTTATATGTCTCACTTGGGAGATTGCTTAGGTTTGTACAGCCTTTCAAATTTATTAGTAGAAGATTGTGTAAATCTCCAATCGATTGGTGTACCTTGCCCAAACTCACACAATGCTTGAGAATGAGCTTTTCAAGACTGGGTAATTTTGAAAAGTCAGGGGTTTCTGTCAAGTACTTTGAATGACTAAGATTGAGGATTTTTAGCCACGGTAAAACCTGCAAAAATATAGTATTTTTACAAAATAAAGGAAACCGTGATAAGTGACAATCGTTATTAATGTGAAAAGGAAATGGGATGTAATATATACCGTGGGTTCTTTCCACAGTAGTCTGAGATTACTGTGCTGGAAATCCATTACAATTGCACCTTCCAAGTAAAAGTTGTTAGGTATGTGCTCTAAAGAAAATCCTTGCCAGGAGATACATCTCAGTTGCTTAGAAAGATAGCCGTAATCTCCAGTTAGCCGTACATGACCAAGTTGCAAGAATCTCAACGTCTTCATTTCCTTAAAAGCATCAGCTTTGAAGGAATCACTGTTCGTTAACTTAGTGTTCAGAGACAATCCCACAATCGCTTCTGTCCCCTGTAATGATACGAGAAAATAAATAAATTTGGAAATCACTATTGCTAGCTCACTGGAAAATGAAACATAAAGCAAAACACGTTCAAGTTTCAACATGTTTTATAAAGAATGTACTCACAGTATTCTTTGTCAATACATCAAGTACATCCTTGGGAAGCCACAATCTACTGCGCTTCCCAGGTTGCATTGTTGAAGTTTGACGCACAATCTCTCGTCCCATGTCCCGAAGCAAATGATGCATTCCAAGTTTATTCTTCTTTTCAATTTTTAAAAGACCACGTTTTATAAGAACTTTTATTCCAAAATCAGCATCCAGTCCACAGCCATTTAGTATCTCCGTGACATAGCCTCTATCTTTCCCAATAAAGAAACAACATACATCAAGAAATATATCCTTTTCCTTTTCACGTAAGCCGTCAAAGCTTATTCTTAGGATGTTCTGAATTTGAGTATTGGGAATTATTTCTAGTTTTGACAATACACTTCTCCATTCATTCTCTGACCTCTTACTCAAATAAGAACCAAGGACTTCAAGAGCGAGTGGTAGTCCACCACAATAAGCAACGGCTGATCTTGCAAGTTTATTGAAGTTTTCTCTTGGTTTTGCTTCTCTAAAAGCATGCCAACTAAAAAGTTCAACCGAGTCATTTTCGTTCAGTTCATCCATCTCATAAACATAATCAACTTTTTGTTGATAGAGCAGGTCTAAATGTCTAGTCGTAATGATTATTACACTTCCTGCACGAAACCATTTACCGCTTCCACATAGTTGTTTTAGTTGGTTTATCTCATTCACATCGTCAAGCACAATGAACAACTTTTTTCCAGAAAGACGGTTCTCGATCGTAGGTTTTTCTATCTCACCCCTCCCTATTTTCACATATTTAAGGACATCTGAAAGAAGTTGCTCTTGTAATTGAACAAGGCCTCTTCTGCCATATGTTTGACAAACTTTTCTAATATCTAGAATGAAACTTTTATCACCAAATGTAAAAGGAATTTTATTGTAGATGGCTTTCGCTAAGGTAGTTTTACCTGATCCTCCCATTCCCCATATCCCTATCATACAGACTTTGTTGGGTTGATTTTCAAACAATCCAATCACATTTTTCACTTGGGTTTCTAATTCAACAGGAAATTTAGTTACAGTCAAGGCGCGGTCTAGTTTAGCGAGAACAGACTTAACAATTTCCTCCACTAGTTCAGCATCATTCCTTCCAGTTCAATAAATACAAAAGACGCAAATGTCAAATAAAATGAATCCATAAGTAGAGGTTTGTTCAGATAAGTATGTACTTTCAAGAGAAGAAAAAAAAATAGTCTAAGTCTTTAAAATTGAATTTTTAATTGCAGAAACCTATATTGCATTTATTTGAAGTTTTCTGTCCTTTGTACATTTAGATAAAGATAAAAGGATTGGGTAAATTTTTCTATAACAAATTAAAATTTTAAAGAAAATTATGAGAGAAGTTTTACAAATTATATATATTTTTAAAAAATATATAATTAATAAAAATAAATTTGTAGAATTTTTTTTTTGGTGAAAAAGTTTCCAAAGTATGGATTGATTTACCTGTGTTTGCTCTCATCCCAAGTAGGCAAATTTGCAACCCTGTTGAGTGCGTGACTCCCCGCAGAAGTGTATAGTATGATTGGATAGTTGAATCTTTCGGCCTGAAACAAATTCAGGAATATTTTTTTTTCTTAAATATAATTTTATAATTAATTTATTAAAATTTTACTTTAAGTATAATCTTATAATTAATATAATAAAAACATAATAGAAATATATTAATGGTAAAAAATTTAAATTTTATTTTTCAAACATAATTTTATTATTAATATAATAAAAAATTATTAATAAAAAGTTTTTTTAAATTCTTTTTAACTTAAAAGCAATATTTTACCTCCATCTGAGTCCCCTCTACGGTCGTCTTTACGCTCCTCCTCGCACTTCTAAGATTATATACTTTCGATGAATCCTTTTTGAATCCACCCTTTATCGGATCACGTACATAGGATGAATCCATTTCGAGATCAAATAGATCGGATGGGTCATCGTAAGATGAAACCATTTCGAGATCTAATAGATCGGATGGGTCAATATCGTAAGATGAATCCATTTCGAGATCAAATAGATCGGATGGGTCAATATCGTAAAACACGGGCATAACTATTAGGCCGTGATTTTCGTGACATTCAATGATTCTCAGAAGGTCTTCAACACACCGATAAGATTCAATGTATGCTGTGGTGAAAACAACTATTCCAATCTGAAACCTTGTAATTGATGGCATAAATTTTTCCGACAATATTTCCACAGCAACTACGGAAGGTTTTACTCCAGCTTGTAGAAGAGAAGAACTCAGATGTGAAACGAAATTTCTATGGATGTCGTCCCCCAAACAATGGATGAAAACCTCGCCTGAGACTCTGAATTTTGAGAAAATCGAAAGAGAAGAAGCCACGTCCATCAAAGAATATGAGGTCAATGGTTAGAAGAGAAAACAATAATGCAGAATAGAGATGAGATGTTTGTAGCTCTTCACTGATGTATTGATAAAATTCAATTTTCTAAAAAAATCAGTTAAAAACTTCTTTCACTAAAAAATGTCAATAAATGTCTTCCTTTATTGCTACCCACCCACCTTTGTCTTATATACGGCTAATACTGGTAATATATTAAAATAAAGTTTATATATTTTAAAATATTAAAATTAATTTTATTCATTATGTGTTTTTTTTATGAAGTAATTTAACATTAAAATTATTGAAATTATCAATTTGGTATAAGTTTTAAACAATTAAAATTTAAAATAAATTATATCAAAAGTGACATAATTTTAACATTTGAAAGTTAAGTTAATATTAGCGC